TGCTGTTTTAGTGTTTTCATGATGAGGCTGACTGTTTGTTCCTGTCAGACAGATGGCTGTCTGAGCTGAAAACTCTGTGAATGGAATGAAAGACCTCCACCCTGCACCCGACTGAAGAAGGACACAGGACTGGACTCCTTTTTTTTTATAAGCTTTATTTTTTCATTTTTAAATTGGAAAACAAACAAAAACAAACAAACAGAAAGCTGTGTTTTGTAGAAATTAACATGGTCTGTGCCTGTTCCAATTAATGGTGCCATTCTACCTCTTCATAGACATGCCCAGGTCTGTTTCCCATTTTCTTTTTATAGACATTTTGTTATAGTCAGGTAACTTTTCATTGATAATGGCATATATAGAAGATGCTATTCCTGTTATTGACTTCCATGGTTTAGTGCAGAGATGGGCTTCAAGAAGACTTTCTTTTGGTATCTCGGGGAATAACCCTTTGGATTTCTCTTTGACCCGCTCTCTTATTTGTAGGAATTTGAAGAACCTTTGTCCTGGGAGTTTGAATTTTTCCTCTAGTTGTTGAAAGTCAATAAATGAATCATTATTGTATAAGTCAGCAACAGTTTGAATATTTCTGTCCTTCCATCCCTGCAGTATTGGGTCAGCAATATGATGAGAGAGGTCAGGGTTGCCCCATAGGACTGTCCTTCTAAGAAACGAGATATTTATTTTCAGAAGTGAGTGGGATTCCTGCCAGGCGCAGAAGGTGTTTAATATTATCAATTTATTGTGAGCCTGGATAGACATATTTTTGTACATAAAAATGGAACATCTTTTAATAGTATGGGGTTCACCTCATGTTGTTCTGTTGGAACCCATCGAACCTCACTCCTCGAACACACACACACGTACACACCCACACACACACACATAGTAGATAGACTCATTTACAGGTGAGAGGTTAATCATGTTTGCTTTCAACTGCATTTTTGTGCGTGCAGAATTGCTAGTTTGTTGCAGAGCATGGCTTGAGGTTTTGGAGAAGCGAGAGTCAGAAGGATGACAGGAAGCACCTGCCGTGGAGACAATGTTCTTTTAAACTGTGTTAAAAGTCATTGTGGTTTTGAAACCTATGTATGTATTGTATTTGTTTGACGTTGAAGGGGCGTCATTAAATTTAAGCCCTATTGGTATAAAACATCTGCTTATGCATTGTTAGTCAGAGATCAATGCTGTCTGCGTACAGCGCTGGTCCCTCCACGCGTGAAGTCAAATCATCGTTTGACTTCACCTGGCCGG